TCCACAACCTCTCTGAGTAACCTGTTCCAGTGCTTTACTACCTTCCTCATGAGAAAGATACTGGGAAAAACTAACCTAAACTTCCTTTACTGCAACCTGAGACCATTGTTCCTTGTTCTGTTATCTGCCAACATTGAGCACACTAACACTCTAGCACCATCTTCTTTGGAATCACCCTTCAGGTAGCTGAAGGCTGCTATTAACACCTCCCCCCTCCCGGGTCTTCTCTTCTCCAGACAGAATAGGCCTAGTTCCCTCAGCCTCATATGTCATGTGTCCCAGCCCTCTAACCATTTTCATTGCCCTTCTTTGCACTCTCTCCAACTTGTACATATCTTTTCTGTAATGGGGGCGGGGGGGTCTAAAACTGGACATAGTACTCCAGGTGCGGCCTCACCAGTGCCAAATGAAGGAAAAGAATCACTTCCCTTGCTCTGCTGGCAGTACTCCTACTAGAACAGCCCACTATGTCCTTGGCCTTCTTTGCAACAGGGGCACACTTTTGGCTCATGTTCAGCTTCCTGTGCACTGTAACCCCCAGGTCCTTTTCTGCAGAGCTGCTGCTTGGCCAGTTGGTCCCAAGCCTGTACCCGTGCATGGGATTGTTCCGTTCCAAGTGCAGAGCTTTGCACTTCTGCTTATTGAACCTCATGAAACTTCTTTTAGTCCAATCCTCCAGTTTCTTGAGGTCTCTCTGAATCCTAGCTTACCCTCCAGCATATCTACTTCTCCCCCCGTTTGGTGTCATCTGCAAACTTGCTGGGGGTACACTCCATCCCATCTTTCAGGTCATTAATAAAGATATTGAACAATATTGGCCCCAGGACCACTCCACTTGATGCTAGCTGCCAACTAGACATTGCGCCATTGATTCCTACCCTTTTAACCCAACAATCCAGACAGTTTTCTATCTACCTCATAGTCCATTCATTCAACCTGCACTTCCTTAGCTTGCTTGCAAGAATGTTGTGGAAAACTGTATCAAAAGCCTTGCTAAGGTCAAGATATACCACATCCACTGGTCACCTCCCTGCATCCACAGAGCCAGTCACTTCATTATAGAAGGCAATCAGGTTGGTCAGGCATGACTTGCCCTTGGTGAATCCATGCTGACTGTTCTTAATCACCTTCTCCTCCAAAA